TTCACAAAAATCTAGCTTTTCTTTAAATGCATTTAAACATTTTCTGCTAGGACATTTTATTTAAAGCTGGTGGGGTTTTGCACATTGATTGACATGGCTAAGTCCAAAGCAGAGTGATATAGTGTTAACCATTTCGTAACCTCAAGTTCATCACATTGATAAATAAATAACTTATCATTTGCCTGTGTGTCCCATTCTTGCGTGGTCATGGAGAGCTCCAAAGCTCACTCTCTTTAAATTAATAATTTGCACAAATTTCACCTAAGGATATTTACTTAACCACTTTACTTTAATTTGACTCTACCTAAGACATTTAATTCAACAAATATTTATTAAGTTCCTCTATAAAAGGAACTTTGACAATCTTCTGTCCTTTCACAGCATATCCAAGCACATCTTGCAAGATAATCCCCATGTCTTGTTATTTCAATTCTTGAAAGAGCTAAGTGTCAACTGTAAACATAAAGATTTGTACTGTTTAAGCTCTTTTAAATCATTTCTGAAAATATTTAGTAAGCCAGAGTCTTCTCCTTGATAAGAATGCCCCCCATCCCTACCCTGTGATGTTTAATTTTATATTTAAACTTGGCTGGGCCACAGTGCCCAGATATGTGGTTAAATGCTATTCTAGATGTTTCTGTGAAGGTGTTTTTGCATGAAATTAACACTTAAGTCAGTGAACTTTGAGTAAAGCAGATGGCCTTCCCATCATTTGAATGGGCCTCATTCAATCAGCTGAAGGCCTGAATAGAACCAAAGACTTATCTCCTCCTAGCAAGAAGGAAAGCTGCAGCAATGGATTTCTGACTTGCACTGTGGCATCAGTCTCCACTGCAGATTTGGACTGGACTGCCTTCCCAATTTTGTGAGCTAATTCTTTAAAATAAATAGCTTTTACATATGTTTGTGTTTGTGTATTAAATGGCATCATTGAAAAATATATATAATATTTATTGAACGTATATATTAGGTGATGCCAGCACCTAGTCCACCTGTCTAATATATATATATATAATATATATATATAATTATAAATATATAATTGATTATGTTTCTCTGGAAAATTCTGACAAGTACACTTTGAGGAGGAAGATATCATCTTAGCAGCAAGGACAGCCCAGGTAGGGCTAGAAGTTTGTTGGCTGGAATTTTCTGACTAAAGTTCTCTCTGGGGAAGAGGCAGAGGGATGGCCTGAAGGTTTGATTCAGGATTAAGTATATGATATGGGAGAGGGAGGGAATCCCTGGAGGAGCTAAGTGAGGGAAGTGGAATTCTTATGATAGTCTCCCAGAGAAATCTAAGAAATCATGCAGGCCCCTGAGAAGTCATTAAGAATAAATGCAGGCAACCCATTCAGGTCCCCTCCCACTGTGGGAGCTTTTCTGTCTTCTCAATAAATTCTGCTTTCAAATAAAAAAAAGAATCAATGCAACTGGACTAACTGATTTAAAACACATGGTCTGACAATTAAGTCTGCGAACTCATCCTAGAAAATGTGCTGCATGCCTCATTGCTGAATATCACGATGGTCACCTTCAAAGTACTCCCCTTGGGAAGCTATGCACTGAAGCCAGTGCCTAGTCCACCTGTCAAAACAATTTTGGAACTCTTTTTCTGGAATGGCCATCAGCACTGTCATCACAAGAATGTTGGAGTTTGAATTAGAGCAACGAACAAATGTTACACTTCTTGTTAAACTTGGCAGGAGTGGAAGTGAAATCAGGGACATGTTAGTCCAAGTTTATGGGCATAATGCCATGAGGAAAATGGCACTGTACAAATGGATTAAACATTTTTCTGAGGGGAGAGAAAGCATCACTAATGAAAGAAGGTCAGGATAGCTCATAATGAGCAGAGCTGATGACAACGTTGCGAAATATTGTTGAGTTGTGCATCAAAATCGTCAGCTTACTGTGAGAAGCATAGCGTACCAAATAGACATCGATAGAGAAAAAGGAAAATCTCAACTGAAAATCTTGGATGAGAAAGGTGTGTGCAAACATGGTCCCAAAGGAGCTCCTGCATCATGACAATGCACCAGCTCACACAGCACTGCCTGTGAGGGAGTTTTTAGCCAGTAAACAAATAACTGTTTTGGAATGCCTGCCATACTCACCTGATCTGGCCCCCAGTAACTTTTTTCTTTACCCAAAGACAAAGGAAATATTGAAAGGAAAACATTTTGAAGACATTCAGGATATCAAGGGTAATACAACTACAGCTCTGATTACCGTTCCAGAAAAACAGTTCCAAAATTGCTTTGACGGGTGGACTAGGTGCTAGCATTGGTACTTAGCTTCCCAAGGGGAGTACTTCAAAGGGAACATAGTGATATCCAGCCAGGGGGGTATGTAGCAGTTTTTCTAGGATGAGTTTGTGAACTTAATTGCCAGATTTTGTACGTTGAGGTTTTATCTTCAGGTTCTATTGTGTATTTTTGGCACATTACTTTGTGCAGTTATTTCTTTCAAGATGGCCAGCTCCATGTTAAAACCCTTATTATCCTATTGGTGTTGATGACACAGGGATTCGCAGTATCTACTCTGTTCTTATATATCATTCATGTCAGTCCTCATTGCTCACAGAAAGTAGTGAAGCTTTTCTTCTCCGTGATCCTTTTTGTAATGAATGGACTGCCTTAAATGTGTGGGCTGCATACCTTTGTGAATCACTTTGTATTCTGAAGACACATTAGAGGAACTGGCTATTTCAGGGAAACTTTACAAGTGTCTCTTAACATCACAAGCCATTCTGATTTTTAAAAATCTCCTCTCTATAATGTATTAGCTGACAAAATTCCACTTTTTTGTCTAAGAGGTTTAATTAAAGCAAGCTAAAACTATACTTAACAATAATCAGTTCCCTGAAAATTATTGTGGAAACGTCTAATGTTTTACCAGAAAGTAGCTTAATGTCTCAAATAAATGTCAATTTGTCCAAATCAAGTTGATAGGCAACTTAATGATAGATAGATGTCACAATTACCCATACTTCTCCACATTTTTAAAGAAAGAAAACATTCACGCAGTGAAGGGAATCAGAATCTGTTTTTATATCCCTAGAGTTATAAACATTTGTATCAAAATATTTACAATTATAGTATATGAAATAATCTATTAACGAAGAAGCCAAATACAGTACTAGAACAACCCATCAACATAATGCAAATTACATGAGACATAAATGTCACAGAAAAAAAAAAGTAAAAGGCAAGGGAATACATGGTTTACTCCAGTCATAGTTCAATTTCTTAACAAAATGTGAGTATCTCTTTTGGATATATCTGATATATAAGCATGCTTCTGCATATAAGACAACTTTCTATAATCATGTGATAATGAAATCATAATTTAAAAGGCCATCATCCCACAGTTTTTTGCTAGCCAATCTCTCCAACCCCAGCCCAGGTAATTTGGTGGCCTGCCCTCAACATTTCTCTAACCAGAATAAACAAAGAAATATACTTAGTAATAGTCCCTATACATAAATACCAGAAATTATGGCATAACAACTCCCCAAAAAGGAACGATATAAAAGAATGGACGAGGAGAAAGCTAATGAAGAAAATAGGCAAGATGTCTCAGATTCTCCCTGGGATGGACCTTCTTCTCAGGGTAATAAAAACTTCTCTAGGCAGAATCTGAGATGGCTTAAAACAGCTGCTCCAGGGAAAAGCAATGCCTGCTTAACCAGGAATAACATACTACTTCTAAGTCCTATAGAAAGATACTCCTGTGGCTGCAGACAGCTCAACTACTAGCTGACTAAGTAACCACAAGAGTTTTTGCTTTTTTATTTAAAAAAAAAAAAAAATCTGCCCATCACCTACATTTTTACTTATCTCATGGGATTTTCTTGTTTTCCTGGGAGCACAGGCACTCTGTTCTTATCATGACAAAATATCGTATGCTTAATACTTCACAATTACATAGCACCTTTCACCCAAGGGCCTGTTGTTTGGTTTTGGTTTGTATGAGTTTTAATTCGCTTCCAGAACTGCCCTGCTTCACCTATAAAGTGGGATAGGCAAGTCCTCTGAGAGGTGACCACTCCAGCTAATGTCAAAGCTTAGACTACCAATGAACCCAGAAGCCCTGATCCCCAGTATGAATAATTAGACAACACTTCCTCCAAAATTTATAGTTTAGAGGAAGAGTAATAGGTTTATGTTACAAGAAGTCATGCCATCTCTTTCCCATTATATACTTAACAGAATCAGTGACTGCATTAAGGGGCACCCTAAAAATGTAACCCTAATATAGCATCGTTGCAAGACTGCCCCTTGATTCCATAGTTTGCGTGGTGCTTTCAACACTGAATTGGTCGCTAGTGGCTTTAAAGAAATTCCAGAAGAGCTGCCTTGGCTTTAAGCGAGAGGCCTAGTGAAGTCCACTGCAAGAGGTCTCCATGATGGACAGCTGTGTGAGGTCTGATGTAGGCCCTAACTACCAGGCCTTCTATTAAGAAAAGTTATCATTCTTGCTTTAGCTAACCCACCAGCTTGGCCTTACGAACTTTCTTCCTCTCATTTTGTCACTGAATTCTGCAGAGCTAATATCTGTTCTAAAAAGGGACAATGGCTCACTGGTCAGAGTCACCCAGTAGGCACTTCAGACTGGAATGTGATGTTTTGCTTTGGGTCAGAAGGGCGGGATAGCTTCCAGGCTTAGCATATTCAGTACAAAGACAATATCTGCTCTTGCCAGAACTTGTACCGCTATTTTAACTCCGTGCAGTAGGACTGTGGACCTCAGTGCATGACCAGAATCCACCTTCAGAAGTGCCGCCAGTGGTGTGGCAGCTGACAGGGTCCCAAGCAGTGTGTGTCACTGAGAACAGCTGGAGACCACGTCTGGTGACTGGAGAGAGGCTCTCTCTCTGGCCAGCATCCAAGTACTAGCAACTACTTCCTCCCAAGGGTAGGGGCCTGGCAGTAGAGAATCTCCCCAGCAAGGGTTTGGGTTTTGGCCTCTCCCCACTCCCTTCCCCCTTCCCCGCCCCACTCCCCATCTTGGTTTTTCCTCCCAGCACAGCAAATTCCACTTCCCTCCCAAATTCAATAGCTTCCTCCTCCCCACCCCCCAGATCCCCCTGAACTCGTTCAGCCCTATTTCTTCCTCAAGACCAGATAGAGAATGCCGATGATGAAGCAGAAGCAGAAGCAGATCCAGGTCAGGATGAAGCAATAGCCATGGTGACTCTCCGGGTAATAGGTGTCTTGACCACTGGCATAATGATGAGTGTAGACGGATGCCCCAACCATAATGCACAGCCCTGCGAGGGGAGAGGGGGAAGAGGAGGGGGAAGATGTGCACATTTTTTTGATAGTAAAATCAAGAAAAAGTTTTTATAATTTAAAAAAGACCCTATTTCCCTCATTAGCAACGGGAAAATGAGTTCTGGTTGTTTTGTCCTTAGCCAGTAGTTCTGTTGATCTGCCCTGGACTACCCTTGGACAAAACTTGGTGGTTGTGTTAAAAAATTGGAGGTGTCTGGACTCTCATCTCTGCACTGGCTTGTGTGGCTGCAAGTGTGAAGTAAAACGCAAAACATTATGCCTGCCATCCAGCTGTCTTGACTAGACCCCAGCATGTCTAGGCAGGCCATTCAGGGAAGCAAAAAAACATGACCTTCCACCAAACGGAGTGTATTAATAGGGGAAGAATGACATGAGAATGCAAATCGCATGCATCACCTGCATTGTGGGAGTGGTGTCATCTGTCCAAAGACCCCCACCTTCCGTCCCTCTTCATGGGTCTTGTATATACAAGCTACTGACAGTAGGCCCTGCCACTGGTAGCTGCCCAGGAGCACTGGTTCTAAACTATGATGCAGAGGAGGGTTCTTAATCCAAGCAGTCATCTAAGGTTCTCCATAAGAAAACAAACAACCAAAGGAGAACATCGTACAAGGCAGTTTCACCAAGCCATCTGCTGGTCTTTTTCAAGTCACCAGGAGCATGGGTGGCAAAACCGACCTAAAAGCCCAAACTGGAGTCTGCCCCTGAGATACTCACAGCACACCAGCATGGTGGCCCCTGAGAGGAAGAACCGGTTTCCCTTCTCCATGGTGAAGAGCTGGAACACGAAGACCACAAGGGAGAAGACGGAGAAGATGATGGAGAGGATCATGAAGGCCTGTACTGACTTGAGAGCATCTGTGGACACAGGGTGAGGAGAGCAAGGGCATCAGACCACCTGAGGGGCTGGACATTTCCCTGGCCGCACCCACTGTCAGCACTAGATCAATGTCTTTGAACATACCTTCATTGGCATATGATGGGGCATAATCGCAGCTACCACGGGTACAGTTTTTCCAAAGACCTACTGATGCGTCTGCAACACTTGAAACCACCCAGACCTGAAGACAGAAGGAAAGAAAATAGATGATTAAACATAGATCCTCTGCTTTAAAAGGAAAATAACAAATCAACTTGCATTAGGACCAAATCATAATCAAGACACTCTGTTTAGCTGATTCAAACTGTAGTCACAAAAGCCCAAGTAGTAAGAGAAAGAAGAATATGAAACCCAGAAAGAAATCATCTAGCCTCTTCGAACTTCATATTCTTCATGACTTTAAAAAATGGAAGGAATTCGACCATAGAGGCTTATAATTCTAAGGTTTTAAGCCAGATGCAGTGGCTCACGCCTGTAATCCCAACAACTCTGTGAGGTGGCGGTGAAAGGATTTTTTTGAGACCAGCCTGGACAACTTGGTGAGACTTCATCTCTACAACAAATCAAAAAATTAGCTGGACATGGTGGTGTGTACCTAAAATTCCAGCTACTTGGAAGACTGAGACAGAAAGACCAAGGCTGCGTTGGCTATGAGTGTGCCACTGCACTCTAGCCTGAGTGACAGAGTGAGTCTCCAACTCAAAAAATACAATACAATACAATAAAATGAAACAAAATTTGAAGTTTTAAAGAAACCGTACTCTGGATGAGGAAATTGGTTTTAAGTATGTGAAATTCATACATTCTGTCAAGATTGCTCCATTTAAGGCTCTGCTAACAAGGAAATAAAAAGTGAAGGGAAAATGTCTAACTGGAGACAATTAAGATGCCAGGCACAGTGGTTTATACCTGTAATCCCAGCACTTTGGGAGACCAAGGCAGGAGGATTCCTTGAGGCCAGGAGTTTGAGACCAGCTGGGACAAGAGGCCCCCATCTCAACAAGTAAGTTTAAAAATTAGCTGGGTGTGGTAGCACATGCCTGTAGTTCCCAGCTGCTCAGGAGGCTGAGGCAGAAAGATTGCCTGAGCCCAGGAGCTATGAGTTATGATCGTACCACCACACTCCAGCCTGGGCCATAGAGACCCACGCAGCTAGGAAGGAAGGAAGGGAGGGAGGAAGGGAGGGAGGGAAGGAGGTTGGGAAAATAGCAGAGTCTGGGGCCACTTTCACCTCAACAGAAGGATCAAGTTTGTCACAAAATGCAAAGTAATCTCATGTAATAGTAAAACAGTACAGCAAGAGTTTTCCTGTGGGGACAAGTGCAAGTGTAAGAGTGACCTGAGTGATGGAGTGAGTCTCCAACTCAAAAAATACAATACAATACAATACAATGAAACAAAATTTGAAGTTTTAAGAAACCGTACTCTGGAGGAGGAAATTGGTTTTAAGTATGTGAAATTCCCCCAGGCTCACCATGGTGCCAGCATCCCTTCTTGCCTGGCCCAAGAAAAACAATTTTCCTTCTGGAATAGAAAACAAATGCAGGATCCTGCCTATACACACACACATGCACACACTAGAAAGACAAGGCCAAGGGCATGCGATCACCTGCCGTTTATTCAATAAACAACTGTGTTTGATAATCCACAGATATGCAACACTTTTGGCACCCATTAATACACTTTGAAAAGGTGTATCAGAATTATTCGGAGGAGTTGGCATATAGAATGGCTGAATTTCGAAACCTGGAGGAGGCGGTATGGGCGGGGATTGTGTCTTATCACTGTTATGCTTAAATTAGCCTTTCTTGTAATCATACCCACCAATGTTTGCAAGGTTTTTCTATCTAAACTTTAAAACCCGTTATCCTTTACCTGTAATAGGGACCCAAACAGATTCTGGAACCATTGATTGCCTGCCTAGTGATTGGGGGCCTTGATTTTTAAGTCCAAAGAGCTATCTTTTGTTTTTGTTTTTTGTTTTTGTTTTCTGAGAAAAGCATAATAAAAGTAAATTGGGCACCATAAACTACCACTAGAGGTCAGAGTAGCCCAAGGTTCAAAGAGAAAGGACTATCATTATTGCCATGTATTTTTTTTACTGTTCAATCTGATTGAGTTCATTCAGTGGCACGGGGTTAATCTTGCAAAATTCTGCTTTCCCGTGCTACTCTCCACTCATAACTTGAAATTGTTAGTCTGGCAATCAAAGCCTCTCATCCTATCACTCCTATTTATCTTTCTCATCAAGCTTCCCAGAAGGAGGGAAAGTTCTACTCCAGCCACCTGGGTTTCCCGGTAATCTGACGACCAAATCTTTTTTCGATAAGTGCACCTTGCCTGGTAATCTCACCTGGAACGCATCCCTTTACAGGTTCTTTCCTCTGTCCACCTTTGGCTAAGAAAAACCTCATCTTCTACCAGTCCTCCAAGGTCACCTCAAGCCCACTCTCCACCCCAAAGAGACTGAAGAAGCCACGCCATATCCTCCAACCTTTCCATGTTTGAAGTGCAAGTGTGTGTTTTTCTCCACAACTAAGGTATAAATTCACAAAGGGCAAGGATTGTGGCTTACACTTCTTTTGTAGCACTTGATGTCAATATTCAAATGATTTCTAAATGAACGAATGAATAAAAGAACATTACTCACATTGGCAATGGTGGAAACAAACAGCATAATAACAGTGGCAATGTGGACCACAAAGATACCAGCCAGTAAGACCAACATCTTGATTTTTTTGGTAACTTGTAAGCGAAGAGATTTCTGAAAAGAAAAAACAAAGGGACAAAAAAGGTTATTGTCAGATTTAATAAGACAGCTCAGCAATCTGCCAAAATGGGAACGAGTTGCAATAAAAACCATGACAATTTCATCATAAGTTCCTGAAAACACCCTGTTAACCTGGTTCTGATAAGCCAAAGTGCCTATTCACCTATTTACATATATCTAATTTTAAACATAATTCTATTTCTTCTCAGATATTTACATACTCGTTTCTGTAACAGCCTATTTCAAAAGAATAACATTTTTATGATAACTTATTGTTTTCGTTTGCTTATTTTTTAGTAGCAAAGAGGAGGACTTTAATTTTTTTTTAATAGGGATGAGGTTTCCCTATGTTGCCTAAGCTGGTCTTGAACTCCTGGCCTCGATGATCCTCTCATCTTGGCCTCTCAATGTGCTGGGATTATAGGCAGGAGCCACCACACTTGGGCAGAATTTTGATTTTTAAAGGGCCTTTGTCATATAAAATTCCATTTTCCACTGGGGAAGTGTCCATGCTTCCATCAAAGTGCTCATCCAGCAATTGTAATAGAAGTTAGGGCCTTCTGCAGAATAGAAGCTATTGCTCAATGCCCATGTACTGAATAAGCTACTAATTTGATCCCGGGTGAGATATAAAATGTGAGAGGCACAACTTCTATTATTATAATGCTGTTTGCTTTTCAATAATTATAATAGCCTAATTATAGTTTAATGGTTTGCTCACCTACTGATTGAACACTTCAGATTAGTATTACCACACCTGAGCCTTTGGTCCTCTGTGTACCTCGTGATAGGCTAACTTGGGTCTGGAGTACAGAGTTATAGTTCCCACAACTAATGTGACAGTTTCTGGGGCCTTTGAACATGTGCAGCTTAAGATAACCACCAAATGTGCCTTATCCTTGTGCACAAATTCCAATCCTTCGGGACTCAGTACAAAAGACAGGCAGATACATAAATCACAGGGCAGCAGGACTGGAAACTAATATCGATTAAGAATGTGCATGGATACACAAAAGCTTTCAGCCATAATCTCAGCAGAGTAGAAGGGAGTCCACTGATCATAAAGCCTAGAAAACAAAGGAAGTGTGAAGGATGCACGTGGGGGAGGCTGCTCTGATTTATGTCAGCTGCAGGAGTGCTTTGTCACACCCAAGACAGTCACCATGCAGCCACGCAGGCTCAGAGGGACATCAGAAGAAAAGCGCTTGAGGTAATTCACACCTGGCAGAATGGATGTGCATGTGCGCATGCCCCCACTGTGGGAGGCACATCCGGCAATTGTTCCACTTCTCTTGCTCTCTCCACCTAATTTAATTGATGCTTTGAGTATGCTTGAGCCACTTTCCTGCCACACCAAGTATTTATTAGAGAGCACGGATACTATCATCGCAACACTTCAGGTGCCTGTTATCTCCTCTCGCTTCCCTCAGCAGGCACTCAAAATCTAGAATGATTCAGTGTACACTGGGTGCCTTGCTCTCTGCAGGCAAGAAAGGAGAGGTAGATGCTGGCTTCCACCATCCACCCTGACCCTCTCCAACAACCCCTTCCCAATCTGGACACTTCCCTCCAACCCAGGCTGTTTTTTCAGGAATGTGTCCAATTTAACTGTGAATGCAGCCTTCCCAGGAGACAGCGTGGAGCTTTCGTGTCTGCTATTAATAATCTCCCCACACATTCAAATGCACACCTCCACAGTTTTCTGTTTGATTTTAATGCACAGTGAAAAGAGGTTTGCTTAATCAGATAGAGGTTGAGTTTGAAACATATACAGTTATTTGACCACACAGTCTCAGTTTCCTCACGTATAAAGTGGAGGTTGCAATGTCAATTGTAAAGAGAAGTGTGGGAATTAAATCGGATTATATATGTAAAACACCTAGCATAGAATCTGGTACATGGCAGGGACTAATAATGGGGTTGTTTTGACTGATGTTATTATTATTACTTTATTTATAAATCAAGTCGAGTAGCTGTTGGCAACCCAACCCAATCATTTCATCACTAGGCTGTCCCTTGTTAAGGGTCAGTAATAAGATATCTATTATCTGGTTCACGAAGCAGTGTGTATAAAATCATTTTGGTCCTCTTAGAAACTGTAATTTTGTCTAACCCTTGCCCCTTGATTAGAGAGACCACTAAGAACCCACCCTCAGGAATGAGAAAGTTTATGCTCTCAGCCCCCACCCTTCTGACACCCCTAAGATTCACACCTCACCAGACCCTGATCTCCTCTGCCCTTAGGGGGACAGGAATAGGCTGATTGTTGGGGATTACAAATGTTATGTAACTGAAACAAGTACTAATGTGTAATCGTCCTTGGGCTCTTTACATGATTTTCTTATTCCTTTTGCTTCTAATTTACAAACATCCTTATCCTAATAGTGGGAAGTAGTGGAGAGGCCAGGAATAGAATATGATACACCACGTGAGGCCACTTAAATCAGTCGCAGAAAACACTGAGTTCCCTTCCTGACAGGCTGTTGGGAATTCAACAGCATTTTTTCTTCCTGGACTGCTCTGTAACCCTCTTTCCAAAAAAAAAAAAAAAAAACCAACTTATTTTTCTACCCATTACTCTTCTTCATAGAACTCTTCTGGGTCTTTTCCAATTGCTTTCAGCTTTCAGTCTTTTTTTTTTTTTTTTTTGAGTCAGCATCTCACTCTGTCACCTAGGCTGGAGTGCAGTGGCACAATCACAGCTCACTGCAGCCTGGACCTCCTGGGCTCAGGCACTCCTTCCACCTCAGCCTCCCAAGTAGCTGGGACTATAGGTGCACACCACCATGCCCAGCTAATTTCATTTATTATTATCATTGCTTTTTTTAGAGACGAGTTCTCAATAAGTTGCCCAGGCTGGTCTCGAACTCCGCCTCAGCTTCCCAAAGTGCTAGGATTGCAGGCATTAGCCACTACACCCGGCCTTACGCGGTAGCCCTCTAAAGTGGAGTCTGACTTCCTCCTCCACGCACACTCTCCATTTCCATGACCCCTCCCAGGTCCCTCCACCTCAGCTGGCCAGCCATGCATCCCAGCCCTGAGGCGTGCAACTTCCTGGCCCCTGGATCCACCAGATCATTACTCCCTGTCCACTGCCGGTTGGAGGAGTGGATGGGGAATCAAGCAAAGAAGCAACTCTCGTTTATCTTAGATTTTTGCGATTGTGCTGTGTCTATTTACCATGGAAAGGGGCAAAATGTCTTGGAACGGCCAGTGCTCTTATTTTTTTTTTTTTGAGTTGGAGTCTCACTCTGTCGCCCAGACTGGAGTGCAGTGGCCGCTCCCGGCCACCGCAGCCTCGACCTGCCGGGCTCCGGCGATCCTTCCGCCTCAGCCTTCCGAGTAGCCGGAATTACAGGAGCGCGCTACCACACCCAGCTGATTTTTTGATTTATTGTAGAGATGAAGTCTCGCTGCCCAGGCGGGTCTCGAACCCGCGGGCTCAGGCCAGTGCTCTTATTGTACAAAACACACAATTCCCTCCGCTTTTAGCTGCTGTATCCAAACAGAAGGGGCTGTTTCGCTGAAGCTATGGCATAAAACATGTAACGCCTCCATCTTCCCACCACCCCAAGTTTGTCGGGTTTTATTAGTGTGATCCATTGTCAGCTTAGAGGGATTTCCATAATGTTCAGTGGCCTTCCCCCAAGACATTCAAAAACAGAATAACTACCTTCTTAAATTTCTGAGTTGAGTCATTCCTTAGTGACCCAATTTCTATACTGTACTGAAGAGACCCCCTTGCCCTCCCCTTTACTCCAAAGAAACCCTCAGTCTAGGAGGAAGAAATTATTGAGGTCCTCATGGAAACCCATTGGTGCTGTGTCTGGTGAATGCCTGGGAGCGTATCATGGCAGAGTAGAATAACAGAAGATCCCATGCTCTTGAGACTTCCACCTACCCATTATTTGCAGTGAAGCTGGTGGGGAGACCCATTCCCTGCCCCACTATGTATCTTGCTTCATACAAAGGCACCACATAAAGACTATTTCTGAGCACTTACATCATTAGAAGTATTGGCTGCTACACTTTCTTTCTTAGCAGTATGTTTCACTAAAATAACAATAGACTTCCCCCTCACACTTCTCTGAAATGCTGTGTGTGGCACTCTCTCACGGAAAGCATGCCCCTCATCCTAGCTGGGCAGCTCAAAGCAGGAAGCAGAGAATAACAGCCCTGTAATTCTGAATACTCCGGAGCAAGACCTGCTTCTTCCAGAGCATTTGGTGCACTGGGCAGTCCCAACGTTTGTGGTTGGTTGTTGAAAACTTTCACAACAACAGGGCTTATTTGTGATGCTTAGACGCCACAATCTAGGCCACCAGAGCCAGTATATTCATCGTGTTCTTAAAGGGTGGGTCATCCACTGACTTCTATGTGGGATGCCAGGGACACAATTCTGCAGCCACCACTGTGAGCTAAGGATCATCCTCTTTAGGCTCACCAACCCTGCATTCTTGACACAGGGGTGGTCAAGGGCTGGGTGGGACACAGAGAACGGTAGAGGAGACATAAATGTTGCCTCTAGAGAGAAGTGATTCTTAAGAGAAACAGAAATTAACCCTTTGGAGCCACACATGGGTCTCTGATATCCCTTTTCTGTTCTTCTTTCTGCCCTAACAGGCCTAAAGTTCTCTTTTTACAGCCGCCATCTTTTGTTTCTGACACTGTTCCTCTTTTTCTTCCCACATGGCCCAGACCACGCTACAGCGGCATTCTCCTCGTGCTTCTTTCTCTAATGCAAGCCCCACAACCCCTGACCATTCTGTATTTGGATTAAGTTCTTAGCTAATAGAAAATGTATTATAGTTAGTGGAAATAACCCTGAGAATTACAACTGGCGACTGTAGCCATAAAGAACTAATGTAGGGGAGGGGAGAAATAGGGATAACCACCCTCTCTAGTTGTCTCCACCTATTTAAATCTTTATTGGCTTCTTGCCTGTCTCTTACACCACCTACACACACACGAAATGAAAGACTGAAGGAAGATAG